GGATGCATCCCCCCACTTATTGACGTGGGGGGGATGGCGTGTACAATCATCCCCCCCTACATTCAGGAGGAAAATGGGAGATTCAAAATTTTCTGGGGGAGAACCCGCATACCCTCGCATGTTTCTTACCACCTTCTTCGAAATCATGCATTGGCCACTGTCGAGCGTAACAAATTTAGCACCCCCACTTCAAAAATCGTTCCGCGGCGCCTGTAGAGTACTGCTAACAAAGATTATGATTATGAATATTTGTATGCATATCAAAAGTCAAATTTGAGTTCATCTGACAAAGGCGTAGATAGCGGGGGGATGGTGGTATATCCCCCCCAACACACCTATTGAGGTGGGGTGGCTTTCATCCCCCCTACTTTCAGGAAGAAAATGAATACTGGATATTTATCTACAAATCCGTCATCGCTATTAATACTCTCCTAATGTATAATTACAGAAATGGAACGTGACATATTGAATTTTCAGGGGGTTGAATGGGAAAATTCAATTTCATCTCACTTTTTGGGAGGGGGGATGGGGGTGCTGAGACCCGACCGGAAGTATATTCCCGATTTTGTATAAGGGGTGAAAATATGCACTATTTGGTTCAAATCTGGTTGTTTTTCTCATATTCTTTTGCAGTTTTAAGGTTCTCACTTCTCAGTAAAATATGCGTTTTATCAAAATTTCAGGTGGAGATGATTCCAGTGCTGTAGTTGTCAACGGGGGGGTCGGTAGCACGGGGCGGTCGCCCCCCTAGAATTTTCAGGGTAAAGGTATTTTAGCCTAGGTAAGTCTGCACTGGCAACCCCAGTGAGAACATGTACATGTATAGCACAGATTTGGTAGTAAGCATTTTAGTCTTTGGTGTCCCCAAAGGTAAAAATACTCAACTCAACAGTGATGTTATTGTGATGAAGATTGTTTAATAGTGCTGCCTCATAGTGCAGGAAATTGCATCGAAGTGGTGTTACTTTCCACAAAATTTCCGGGGGAGGTCCCCGACCCCCCCCCCCTAAACAGGAGGGGGACACCCCCTGAAGGAGGAAAAATCCTGATATTCTAAGATAAAGATGTCCAAAATTGATTGCTTTTAGATTGCAACTTTTTAACAATTCCACACAGTGCGCGCTTCGTTGCCTTGAGCTCGCATGATTCGCCCCCCCCCCCTAGAATTCATTTCTGGGTGTTCCACGTTTATGCTGGTAATGTATTCACATGCAGTATATTTTCTATAGTCATAGATTATGACCGTCTTATAAGATATTAGGTATAATAATGCTAGTGAATGCTAACTAACTGATTAATATTGTAGTCCGCAAAAAAGAATCCTATGAATATTTTCTCTCTATATCTCTCATCTACCCTCCTTAAGGCCAATGCAAGCACGTGAAAATAAATTTTTTCCAGGTACTATGAGCTATGGCAATCAATGTAATATCGAGTTAGTCCTTCTACGTAAGGAAACATGGCATAGTGAGTAAGTGTTGGCCTCATCCGAAAAGAAACTATGAGTATGTGGACAAACTGGTGGGTTAGAAGGCCAGAAGGGTCCAAAACCCGCCCGATCCACAATTTTCTAATTACAGTTAAAAAACTTCCCAAAGAAAGTCGACTGGATTTGAACACAGTAGATGAAAGCCCCACGCTGAAAGTTCGTCAGAACGTACAAATGATCTGAGCGTAACTAAATTACAGAACGTTATCGCGAACGCCGCAGACGGCGTGAGTTCTGAGGCGGTGTATGAGCGTAGTACGAATCGAGTACGACAGCGGTCGAGCTTTGCTAAGAAGACGCACCAACGTTCATCAAACGAGTGAGCGACGGCGCAGCAAGAGATGCGGTCACGGGGAAACATCGCAGAGGAACCAATAAAACGTCGCTCACAGCACTCACTGCCCAGATCGTAGTAACGAGAGCAATCGTGCCTGGAATAAAACCGTATTGATAGTAAACGTGAGACGACATAACGGGTTGCTGCTAGCGAAGATTTATCACCAGTGAAACGCGAAACCTAAGCTGGCGAGTACGGTCAAATGCGCGTAACAAAACGGCAACCGTGCAAGCGACGAAACCTGCGCTCGACGTGACGCACACGTCATCGTAACCGCCGAACCGTGGAGTCTCAAGTGGGTCGAGACGCGAGATGCGCTATGAGTCACTGCGGTGGCGCGCACCGAGCCGGTCGCAGTCTCCGGCTGCTGGAAAGGCCGAGTGTGTGCACGGCCTAAAAACTGCGAGGATAAGTACAGACACTGCTCCCTATAGGACTCGACGAATGAAAGGGCCGAGAATTCAACAGCGTCTGTGAGTTATATTCGGCGCTTGCAACCAATATTCAGAAAGCTGTCACAGAGTATTGCGAATCGTTACTAATGCTATTAATAAATAAAGCGTTGGGCTGGGGACGAGCAATTATCTGGAGCCTGGGTATACAAATTTACGGTGACCAGTTCCCTATACTGTGGTCTATTAAATTACGACCAGCACTGTCTTTTATAGACGGTCAAATGTTAAATCTATTTGTTTGCGCGCTCAAAACGGTACGACTGACCTCTCGGCTCTTTATCTAATCAATACACGAGAGTTTGTTGAATTGAGCGAGACTGATATGAATGATGCCTGCTGAGCCCTATGTAAATATATGTAGATATTTAGGCCACGCTTCTTCTTTTTTTCCGATCTATGTGTTCTAAAAATACGTGGTATTTTATTGAAGATGGGTAAAGTTAACAATGATGTCACAACGCGCTCGATCGCGATCGCAGCACCAATTCATGTCCCAGTATAGCCATCAGGAGCGGCGTCACGCCAAACGGTGTCTGTCAAAACTAAGTTGGGGGACGAGAGCGCGCCCCAATCTGAGAGAAAACCTGACACGGCCGGCCATGCGGGGCCTGCAGAAGCTTATTCAGGAGAGGGCGGAAGTACGAGCGTAGTGAGATCGGGTGAGCCGGCGAAGCAGCCCCCATGTAGTGAATGGCGGAAAAGTAAGCCACAGGGACACAGACGCAAGTGGCATGGAGGTATGGTGTGGCCTAGAGGTGAGTGATGTACCCGCTCACTCAGCAGCATAAGAGAACAATATTCGTGCTCGTCCAATAAATTGTTGACCAAGACACCTTATCATGAGGGATAATATGATACGAGAAGCGTAATTCATGCGTGTCGATAGCAATCGAGCAGACAGAAAATAAATTTTCTAAAAGTGGTTCTGAGAAAAATGGGTGTGAGAACGCGCAAAATATAACACATTTCGTGACTAACTATAACTAATGTGTAATTGTTAATATGTATACTCAAAATTATGTGATCAATACTTATGTGAGTATAATATCAAATCTACAAATGTTAATTATGACATTATCCATAGATTATATCACACGGAGATAATACAGAATTATATGAAGTATCGTTGAATCATTGTATTAACGTATCGTGTGTAAATCGAAAAAGATTGTTTTTATAATTGTTACAGATTCAGTAATAACCGTGCGTAGGTATTAAAACGCATGTACTCAGGAGCTAGTCGTGTCCCTGCTCAGATACTTACATAGATCTATGTGTGATTACGTTTAATGCTAGACCACAAGCTTCGGCCTTCTCGCCTACCCACGACCGTGAACAGTCGGAGAGCCTGGTCGGTTTACGTTTATGCTATGGTGTATATAACGCACAGGACTTGTTGTACGGAGCTGGCAGGTCGTGAAGCTGTCATCGGTTGGCTGAGGGCTATCATGATATGAGTTTGAGCAGGCGTGGCTTACCTGAAGGGGACACTAATGTACCGAGCGTTTGTGCTCGCCGAGCAGCATCCCGCCTCGTCAGACAGCTCACGAGGAGTTGTACAGCGCGGTCAGCGACAGTCGTGCTGCCTACACCGGTACGTAGAAATGTGTATTTGTGTGTGTGTGTGTGTGGTGTGTGTGTAGGTGGTGTGTGTGTGTGTGTACGTGTGTGGTGTGTGGGTGTGTATAGTGTGTGGTAGTGTGTGTGATGATATATATGTTCGTGGTGTGTGTGTGTTAGATGTAGTGGTAGTGTGTGTGTGTGTGTGTGTTGTGTGATGTGTGTGTGTGTGTGTGTGTGTGTGTGTGCGTGCGTGCGTGCGTGCGTGCGTGTGCGTGTGCCTGTGCGTGTGCGTGCGCGTGTGTGTGATATTATTTAAAAACATTATGTATATTACATTATATGCGTAAGCCGTAAGGGCAGGACGGCACAACCAGCCACCGTGCGCAAAATATTAATTGTCCACCGCGATATGCTACCGATGGACGCTTGCATTTTACGCGGGGATAACAGACGTGGCGAGTGTTCCTCTATGGAATAATACCGAGCAGGACATGTTTCGTGTACCCGATGTCGTGAATTCCATATGTTTATAAGGTGTGTTAAGGTTTTGCCATAAGATATAAAGAATAACATGTAAACATAATATTTAACCGATGTTATACATAAATTAGTTAGAGACGCGAGTGGCGACTAGACCCAAGGGTTGTTTTGGTGGTAGTCTATTGTAGCATAGGCGTAAATTCCCCCGGGGGGGGGTGGAGAGGATGCAATGCCCCCCGCTCATTGAAGGAGGGGGGATGGCCCATGATAAAATATCAACCACGCTTGAGATTAAAAAAAAAACTCTCCTTCACTCGTGCCCACACTTGAAAGTTCAGAATAATAATGATAATTTTTGAGACCAACTGGTCAGACCTAAATCAGTCAAAATTACTGCAGGGGCGATGTACAGGGGGGAGGGTCCAAGGGGTCGCGGACAACCGCGCCCTGCTCGCGCAGAAAAACGCAGTCTGAAGAGAGGTCTAATGTTCCAAAAAATTCTGGGGTAGGGCCGCACCCAAGACCCTACCTTCGCAAGTGATCATCCCCCACTCCTTGGTAACGGATTTTACGCCCCTGCTATGTAGAAGAGCGTACCGCGCATCTTGTGCGGCTAGATTGATGTTATAGGGAGAATGAGGTAAAAACGTGTTAGTCGGGCAGTTTCCAGGGTCATTGTGAGAGAAATGGGGAGTAAGGACGCGGTCTGGGAGAAAGGGTAGACAATGTGCGCTCAGGATGTAAGGGGTTTTGGGGTAATATATAGGACAGAGATGTAGGAGTCAGGAGTCGGCGTTGTGGTCGCGGGAGAAAGCACACAAGCGCTATAGGCGCGATGTTGCGCGTGTCCTTTGTCTCTCTGCTGGGGCAAAGATGTGAACTAGCACTGTGTAGCAAGCCTATTAAAAGTTTTATTCAGTTTAATACACAAGATTATGGAATTTCTACTTCATACATTCAACATGAACACATATAATTATAACAGGGGGGGGGGGGGGGGGGGGGGGGGGGGGGGCGTTACATATATTGTGGGCCAGTGACCAGTCAAAAAACTTGGGTATTCCTTTGCGGACTGCAACGCAAGGTACTCCACTATACTTCAAGATCTAGCGGGCCATACTACGCAAGGAAGATTGGAGAAGGAAAAGACAGTCAGGAAGGAAGTCGATGAAGTCACTGCTGGCAAGAAAACTGCGAGGGGAAACGGAGAGCGGACGAGAAGACAAGAGAGAGGGAGGAAGAGAGAGAGAGAGAGAGGAGAGAGAGAGAGAGTAGAAGAGACAGGAGAGAGAGGAGGAACGAAGAGGAGCAAGAGAGTAGGAGAAACGAAGACAACGACGGAGAGCGATCGACAAGAGACGAAGAATGACGGAGACGAGAACGGGAAGAACAGAGCGAGACCGC